TATCTATCTATCTATCTATCTATCTATCTATCTATCTATCTATCTATCTATCTATCTATCTATGTCCAAGATAAACATAAATATGAACCATTCAGTCAACACCTGTCTCCTGCTTATAGAATGGCTGTGGTAGACCCCGTTTCAAACCACCAATCAAGAAAAGTGAAACTAGATACAAATGCATTGTTGCAAAGCAATGTTATTAAAACAGTGTTTTTTGCAAACAAGTCCCAATATCAGTCATAGGACAACCTGAACTCTCTACATAGCTTGTCAGAAATGAAATTCCTATTGTTTCACAGTTTAAATCAATACCTACAGAACAGATATATGAGACAGTTAAGGGAGATGCAAAACCAAAACCTGGAGCCATTCAACTTACTCCTTTAGTCTCTGATATACACATATATTTGATGAGATGTTATCATTAATCAATGCAAACTGCATGAAAAAAAGTCTTGGAATATATCTTACTGGGCTGATCCAAGGGCATTTTCATGTTTGTGTATTAAGAAGAAAACTCTTTGATTTCATATTTTTGAAGGGCAGAGTTCATTCATTTACATGGTTTCCCAGCAAACTGTTTGGACATCCATCTGTCAGTGATGTTTTCAATTGGATTCTTGCCTGAGCTATGGGTTAAATTTCATGGGTTATGTGCTCTATAATTCTAATCCCTAGGGAGGTAAGGAAAACTCTTTTTTCGAACCAGGAGTGCAGAGGCCAGCCACATCAACAATGCACTGGAATTTTTTTCCAATGTCTGTTCTAATTCTTATTCTAGTTTTTATAGTTGTGGGGCTTTGGTGTTTGTTTTTTAATTTATTTAGTCTGAATTTCTCTCATTTAACAAGTTTTGCATGTCTATAAACTCTTTTACATTGCTGTTCAAACATACCAGCATCCTTTGGAACCCTCTTCTCATCTGTATTCCACAATCACTTTTGTAAATGGATCCTAATCTATTCAACTACTTCACTCAATCTTGAATCACGAATGTGTTTTGACTGATTTATCCTTTCCATTCATCTTCTGTAGCAAATGTTTGACCTGGTTTTTTTTGTCTGATTGATGGTTTGTTTATTTTGATTTTGGTGCTGCCTGACTCCAGAACGACTCTGGGCAGCTTGTTTGCTTTTTGGCCATAACAGCCATTTACTGCCACAAGTAGCCAGTTCAAACATGCCACTTTTGGAAGCAGAAGCCCTCTCGGCCACTTAGTGACAGGCGACTTGCTTCCTCCCACTACCTCCTGGCCCCTACAAGGGCCTTCTGAGTACTGGGGGCATTCTGGGGCCTGTCTGTCAGTTCTCACCTTCTATCGGGGACCCGTTTGGTCCCAGGTCAGATGAGCAGAGCAGTCAGTCCAGCAAGCAGCATAAAAGTGCTGCTGCTCTGGATCTGCTATTTCTCTGTGCTTCTGCTTATACTCTGAAGCTGACAGTACAAGTAGCTGCTTCCAGAGCCAAAGTGCGGAGCTGGAGAGGCAGATGGCAGTCACAGCAGCCTCGCTTTCTTTGACCAACTGCAGCAGTACAGCTGTCCTTTGACTGTCTTCTGCCCGAGACGTGCTTTCTGCCCTCCATCCCCACTTGTGAAGGCAACAATAAGAACTGTGGTAGCCAATAAAAATTACTTGCCTTCCAGTTGACACCTGTGAAATTAAGAAACATTTGGACATTCCTGAGCTTGGAGATTTGGACAGAAACCTGACCCCCAGGGATGTCTGCAGAGTACAGTGAAAAAGTCAAGATGGTGGCCACAAAGGTGTGATCAAAATCTGCCCTATTTTTTAATCTTGTACGATCACAGCTGCCATCTTGACTTTTTTACCATACCCTGTGGACTCCCTTGCTATCCACTCATTATACATGCCTCTAGACATCGCTCCTGCTCATTTCTTCAGCTCTGAAATTTGGCCCAGTGGCCATTAGAACAGACTGATTCCCTCTTAGCCCCAAAATGGGAGGAGGGCAGTTTATACAACCTCCCTGATGACTACTCAAAAAAATTAGAATAATAGAGAAGTAACAAGTTCTGATCTGGGATTCCACTGTTCACACAAAGGGGGTAAGAAGAAAGCGAAAAGGCTGGTAGGTTCATGTCCTGACTCAGATGGAAGGGAGAGGAATGAAACACTGGGACTGTCTGTCTGCCTGGAGAGGTACAGACAGCCTGCGCAGAAAACAACACAGTTCACTAGCTTGCCTGGCTGTTGTTTC